CTTCCTTCCTTCCTTCCTTCCTTCCTTCCTTCCTTCCTTCCTTCCTTCTCTCTTTCTCTGTGAGAGGTGGTGGTGTTAAAGAGTCTTTTGCATGTGCTTCACATTAACCATGGTCCTGGAGGTTGAAGAGTATGTGGTGCCAGCTGGAAAGCTTTTTGGGGGTGGGGTGGGGCCTGAATTAATCCTTGGTCACCAGTCGTTGCCCATCCATAGGATACTGCACGTAGTCTTCCTTCCTTCCTTCCTTCCTTCCTTCCTTCCTTCCTTCCTTCCTTCTCTCTTTCTCTGTGAGAGGTGGTGGTGTTAAAGAGTCTTTTGCATGTGCTTCACATTAACCATGGTCCTGGAGGTTGAAGAGTATGTGGTGCCAGCTGGAAAGCGTTTGGGGGATGGGGTGGGGCTTGAATTAATCCTTGGTCACCAGTGGTTGCCCATCCATAGGATACTGCATGTAGCATCCTGTATGACGGAACTGACCAGAAAAGGCGACATCAGCCCCCCCCAGTGTCTTTCTAAAAATCGCTCCTCTCGTCCCCTGCCCTCGACCTTTCTTTGATTGTGGCTATGCCTCTCATGGAGCCATTTTGTGGTTGGCTTGACGTCCCATGGTAGTTGTGTTGTGGTTGCACCTCCTACTCTTATTTCTGAATTCCAAATGTTCCCACAGGTCCAAAAAGGTCGGGGATCCCAAGCTACATTCATGGTACGGTTTCAGGCCAATCACAAAACTAGGATGCATGCTGCCTTCAGGGTAATCGTTCGTATTTATAATCCAGGAAGAGACAATAGCAGTCCTAAAATGGTTGCCTTTAGCTTCCTTTTCCTGTCTCAGCCTCACCCCGAGGTCTGCAAAGGGCCCGTCTAGCAATGCCAGCTGAGCCACCCGACACCGGTCCCTGTTGGCCAGGGTCTGGGGCGTGCTGTAGCCCCCCCTCAGGGCATTCTCCTCGGCAATCAGCGCTTCCAGCTCTGGCGTGGCTCCTCCCGTTACCAACGTACGTATCAGCGTGAGAATATTGTCGTTGAAGTATGTCTGGGAAGATAAAAGAGAGCTCTTTAAGCAAACACCATTAAAGTCACAACTGAAGACATCCAAATTACAACTTTTCGAGCTTTCTGCTGTTTAAAGTTCTTGGCTGTCTCTTCAAATAATTTCCCATAGGAAGTGAAAAGACAGCATCCCCCAATTACTCTATTTTCTTCTGTCCCATTAGGCTCCTGCACTCGATCCTTCGCCCGCCTGTCCCCCCTAAAGAGGGAAAAAAACCACACCAATTCAGGGCTGATTTTTATTAAAGAACAAAAAAAAAGTGAATCATTTATGTTTCCTATAATTGGTGTTATTGGCGAAGGAATGACTGCTCTCCTTCTCATTGCCTTCATGTCTAATAACAGCTTTTAGGACGGGTAATTGTAAAATCCAGACCACATTTAAAGCTTACAGGGGCTAGATTGCCTTTTTATACTTGTCACCAATCCGCTGGGGAGCCGCCTCTGTGCTTCAAATGTCATTACTTATTACGGCGGCTGGGCCCGTGCAGTCTTCCCGGTGCATTGTACTAAACATCTCGTTATGAGGCCTGACAGTGTTCAGACACAAGCAGGTATCAATTAAACATTTTGAGTTCGTTCCAGATAAATGTATGATGAGTTTAGGATCCTGCCTCTCCCTTTTTAAAAACTCTAGGGTATAGGGTAAGTGTAGTTTATTAGGGAAGATTTCCTCCGCAGTGACATTTCGCCGGCGCCGGAAGCCGCGCTGGCCTGTCAAGCAAACAATGGGCATTTTAAAATATTAATTTAATGCCAACAGAAGGGAGTTCATTTAAAAGTACAGTGGACTGGTTCAAAGATGCTCCATTAAATAGTTACTATCTATGACAGGCTGAGTACCCCAGTCATAATAATAATAAAAAAGAGTGATTAATCTCTAGCCGCGACCTGGATGGCCCAGGCTAGCTGGATCTCGGAAACTAAGCAGAGTCAGCCCTGGTTAGTTCTTGGAAGGGAGACCACCGAGAATGTCCAGGGTCGCTACGCGGAGGCAGGCGATGGCCAACCTCCTCTGAATGTCTCTTGCCTTGAAAACCCAATGAGGGGGTCACCATAAGTTCTAATGCAATCTGCTAAATTGATATGTGCAGCCCCTTTTCCTCGTGTGACTTCAGGGAGAAACCAGAGGACAACCCAGAGACGTGGGTGAATCTTCCTGAATCTCAAAGCTATTTGATAGGTGCCCTTGAGACTGTTCAGATGATTGGCCGAGGATGAAATCCAGAATTCGCCACTAGAACGAAATTTCGCTTTCAGATGACATTTCGGCAGGTGCTCCAGCCCACAGTCTTTGGAGTAACCTTGCGGGGGGAAGCAGCGGCACCCTTGCTGGAATCATGGCAAGGGCACTAGCTGTCAGTATGCCTCAACACGGAAGCCAAAGAACTGGCAGTGGGAGACTTCTGCCATTGTGGCCTACATGACTGGCCCACAAAGGGGCTGAGGCATGCTATCGCACTGGTGTCACTAGTGTCGATCTTCATTCTTGTCTATTAAAAGAAGGAGACAACAGTGGAGGACAGGGCTTCCTTTTTGTTGTTGTTGTTCAGTCGCACAGTCGAGTCCGACTCTTCACGACCCCATGGACCACATCATGCCAGGCCCTCCTGTCTTCCGCCGTCCTCTGAAGTTTGCAGCAGAACCTTAAGGAACTGTATTTGTCTGATGCTGGCTAAAGTCTTTGTGCATTCACAGCACCGTAGAGCGAAAGGCATTCAAAACTATGTTCTGTTTGTTCCACGAGAGAAGTCAGCGTGGCCTGGATCTGCTGTCCAGTATAAGAAACCAGCCCGGATGTTTTCACAGTTGTGGTTTAGCACAATCCTTTTCAGAGGAAAACACAAGATTCCTGTTGTGAAGCGTGTTCCAGTCACTGATAAGGAAGGCTCTTTAACTGGTTGTTGCTAACTAGATGCCGTCTCCAGCGTTCCAGTATAGAAATATACACGCTGTGGAAGGGACAGGGGTCATTTCGTAGAAAAAGAGGTGCAGGAGCTCATTAGCATAACTCAATAGCATAACTTATTTGCATAAGCCACACCCCCTGACATCACCGGAAGTGTGTCAGAAGGCAACACCCACCACTCAGGCTCCACTGGACTGTTTTGTATTGCTAGCTATTGGGGGGGGGGGGAACCGGGAAGTCCCTCACAGAGGAGGGAGAGCTTGTACCTGAATAAAACTTGGTTATAAAAGTG